AGCGTTCCACATATCCGGATTCCTTAACGTTGCCGGCCCCTATTCGCTGCCTTTGCTGGTATGGCTGCTAACCGCGGCCTAAAAACCTAAGACAATTACCAAAAACCAAACAAGGCGCAATAACTATGTTAGAGTTCGTATTAATTCGGAAGGGAACAGGGGCAAAGTGGGTTGATGTTTTTGTGTTAATCCCAAACGGCCGGTGACCTGACCCGCGAGGTCACACGCGGTCGGTTGTCGTCACTTAACAAGCAGCCCTGTCAGCATCGCATTAACCCACTCTAGAGGTAGTAACTTGTAATGCCAGTCTGCACATTTTGATTTGCGCATAATTGTGAAAGCCTGAAGTTGAATTATCGTAAACATGTGTTCGGTTACCCTGACTTTTAATCCAAATGTACAATTTCTAGCGGCTAATTCTGTAGCCTGCAAAGGAGTGCGACTACGATTTATCGTATATGGTCAGCTTACTTTATTACTGGGCAGGGTGTGAATGATCGTCTGTCTGCCTGTTTTAGGCACACATTGCGCAACCAGTTTTTGACACCATTCGTGGTGTTAGCGGGACCACCAGCATCTCTATCAAAGCGACTCAGCAAGGTACCTGTAAAGTATAAACTGCTTTTGCTGTAGTTATCATGCATCTCGTAATAGATAGTGTTTTGGCGGAGAGCCGGCATATTTCCTGCGAGGCAAAAATTAATCTTTGCGGCCAAGTAATGCGTGAGTAAGCGTTCTGCAGTGTTCCTCATTGCCTAGCACAAAGTATTGCTGTGTATTCGTTGGAGATATTGTACCTACGCCATGTATAGGTAGGGCTTATTTTTCACGTTACAAATTTGTCCTTTATTACGCCGTCAATGGATGAAGTCTTGAAAGCTGTCATTTGTTTCACAAACGTTAGCAGAAGAGGCCGATCTACTCTAAATGCCACGATAGATCGCCCCAACGCTTCCCTAAAGGAATTAACGGTTCCAGTCAAGTAATTTATTAGTTTTGACCAACTCTGATTGTCTGTTGCTTTCCGTTATAGCTGGTTTACAAATGCCGCATCATACCAAGCATTGTCTTTTGTTTATCTAACATCGCCGAGTAGAAGTAGGCACAAGTTCCTGCGGCCGGTGAAACTTCATCGTCCATTAACGGATGATAAATGGAAGCTGATGTGACCTGTAAACTAGGGGTCTTCAGAAGGCTATGTCTGAAAAGAACCTATGTTAATACATTGTACCAAGGGATGAGGCCTGACTGATGCAGCCTAGATTTAGCATCTAAAATACTGCAAATCTTGTATCTCACTTTAAATTAATTTTGTATGAATACTTTGCCCATAAACACAAATAAAGCAAGCGTTTTGCTGAAGTCGCCGCTTTGTGATAGGGTTTTTTAACCGTAGGCTTTGTTTGAGTACCCGAATCATTCTCATGTCTAGCCATGGGCAATTTGACGGTATCATGCCCGCGCAGTACAACTATGATACGTGCTATAGGGTTTCCAGCCATATGTGCTCGTGATCCTTGTTTCCAACCAGAAAGTCGAGAGCGCCTGATCCTGACCAAATGTGAGGTCAACACCTTCATACTTTTGTCCGAAGTCATTTTCTGACCACTTTGTCCTTGCTTGCAGCCAACTTCTATGCGCGTACAGACTGTCACAGTGAGGCAAACGCTCAGTAGGCATGCAAAACACGTGCCCAGGCCACCGAAGCCTATGCAGTAAAATTATTCGGCTCGGCGGCCGGCCTAGTCTGTCTGATCTGAAAATCCCTCGACGAGAATCCACATTGCTAATGTGATGTTGCCACCGCACGCCATCGATGCTCCGGAGACACCGGTGATCCAAGACCGCCTCTAAACATCCTTCGCACTAGCAACCGTAGAGCTGGACCGCTCTCATTGTTGCATTGTAGACTCGGCTCCTTAAGAAGAGGATCAGGTGGCATCGACACCAAAGATGGCGGAGATTAACAAACGCAACCCGGGCCTTAGCGACGTGCAAAGAGGTCTCATCCATTAAACCGTTAGCGCTGATACAGCTCCCGAGGCAAACGAACTAGTCTACCACTTCCAGAGTGACCTGAGTGGATAAGGGTGGGAACACCTAGCCAGTCCTGTACGAAGATCAGTACACTTCAAAGGGGCAGAGATCATTCCAAACTTGGAGGTAGACACCGCCAATGTGCACAGTACATTTTGGGCGGGCTATGAGGAATCCCAAATTAGGGGGATGTCGTCTGTGTACTCTAAATTGCGAAGTCGGTGCCTCGGAAGCAGTTCGACGCCGCTGTGTCCGCAATACTCCAGAGCGCTCTCTAAGATGTCATCCATAGCAAAATTGTTTAGGAAGGGTGATACTGTGCATATGGACCAATGCTTCATATCGGACAAGTCAGTGGTTAGAGATCATACGTACTCAGCCTGAGTATCTTCATCGAAAGATTGCCTTTGCGGGTCATGAGATTAACTCGATCGACGTAGAGGCGGAGCGCCACTTTGGGAGGGTACCACAGGCGTTCACTGGCTTGTTACCACCCCCTCAAATCAAGTAGCTCCAAGTCGATGAGGTGCAAGTCTACCAAATCCCATTTGCTGATGGTCGCTGCAGACCATCAATGATGAAGCCTACTTGTAGCTCTCATCCTTTATCCAAGAGGTAAAGAATACGGCATTCGTTGTCGTTTCTGTTAACTTCATTCCACGGGTTCGGAATAACACTTGAGAGATTGTCTTTGAATCGAGGCACGCCGCACAGCTGGTGGCGCTTGGTTCTAAGGACTGTGTGCTAGTTCCAATTGTCACATTATCTGCACTGCATATTCGTTTATTTCGCGTTGCCTGGCATGCACAGTGACTTGAACTCAACCTGACCATGTTTTCATCAGGTACATATTTCGCACATCATACTCGGTCGATTTACAGAACCTGCATGGATTCCGGACACACTCTGGCGCGCGCAAGCGCTACCGAATAGACTGACGCATATCGCTGCATGCTTTTGCATAGGCTTTTGCACCTTCAAAGTGTAAATTGCTGTTACAGAACTAGACCGGTGCGCCAGATCACGCTGTCAGAATGTACGCTGACTCGGCGTTCATTCTACGCTCTTGCTGCACGTATTGGGTGAAACTGCGAGGTGGCCAGATGATGACGTAAACAAACGCGTAACCCACGGACTTGGTTAGGCCGGTGTGTTCCGTCTTCATGAATGAGTACCTCGGCGGGTATCACAAATATTTGGGGACCCGTTCAGACATTGCGGAGTCAGTGGGGGTCAGTGCCACTTTCGCATTCGGTTCCTCACTTCTAGCATGCTATTCCCAACCCATTCTCTTTGTCTCCTTCCCTTTCCACTACTACACCTTCATACCCAGATCCGGTCATTATCCGCTTTTTACGATTTATTCTGTCGTTAACAAAACATTCGGCGCACGAAATCAAGCTATCTTGTCACCACCTTGTGTGTCTCCAGGTGTTCCGCGACCTATATGCGAGTGAGCACCTCCCCGAATATACGCACTGTTAAACAGGATTATATCACCACATTGCACCACCCTTTACATGTGTACGATATTCTAAGCGAAGACGTTCTCTAATGCCGCGAATGTTAACGCGGTGCATTCGGCGTCGGTTGGTATCCGTAACCCCATTACTGGATAATTCTCATTAGACTGTTTATTGTTTCGAAAGCGATTTTATTCAATTTTGATTGTACTTTGTTATATCGCGTCCTAGTTGTTTCAACTAAGTCGGAACGGACGAACGTTCTTAACTGATTATACCTTGTGCGTGCAGAGTAGCCAATGGAATTCGTAACGTTGTAGGCTAACGAGATCTAGCCATCAGACGTACACATGAGCTAAGACTGGAGACGAAAACGCACAACCTAACGACTGCACTGGGACCCGACCGAGTAAGAAAACCGTTAGCAAGAGTTATTTTACTGACTCACCCAAGGCGAAGCGTGCTTTCCACAACATTTTTATATCTCACTAGAATAGCATAACTTATAGAGAAAGGTGTATGAGTTGTCGTCCTGCGATGGTATCTTGAGGGAATCTCATTTTGTGCGGTAACTGCTGCAGCAACTGCGGAGCTCATGTGGTTCACTGCAGCATAACACGATGGAAACATTATTGTCATGAAGAGAATTCATCGGGTGGTCTGCAGTGTACACAACAGATGCATGTGTCAGTGGCTCCCTTGTCACTTGGCATCTGTCCTGGGGATGGCTCGTTTGTTTTCCATCACAGTCTGAGTCGCCGCATGGTGATTGTATGTGTGCAAGTTTGATGGAGCTATGCCAGCTCCGTGGCATAATTGCTTGTGAAACATTGTGTCCACGTAGCTGTGGTTGAAAATTGTTGGGAATACCTGTATCTCGGGATGTGGGTCATGTGGTTGCATTGATCTCCTAACCTGTCTACAGCCCAGCTCGGAGACCAACACAATCGCCCCATAGTTGTGGTGTGCACCTATGTGTCTACACTCTATCTCCGTTTACGCACCTTTACAGCGCCTTCGAACTTCTCGCTTTAATTGCCGGAATCATCTTCACTGTTGGTCGATCGGCGGCAGTACATGATCCCAATGAATGCGTTGCATCAGCTTTTTGAAAGTCTGTGACTTCACTCATCCTCCCTTCTCATCACAACTGTTCGCTGTTGCTGCCCTAAGTCTGTCCGGTCTACGTTTCTTGGTCACCGGTTTGAAAGTGCTTGTCGTATTTTTTTCGCGATTATGAACGCTTTGTCTGTTCGTTTGAGTTTGCAACTGCATTATATCGATCTTTTGCGACAGCTTTTCAGACATGCTGAAAACGCCTGTCCAGCCAAGTTTCTGACTCGTGTTTCTTCCACATTCAACTTTTGTATCGTGAACTTCATTCCACCGAATTGATGTATCACGTTCTGGAGTTACCAGGTTCTCTCTATTTAACAATTTATATGCTGTTGCTTCCTGTCCGCTTAAATTACACTTCTCTTTCTGGGTTCGCACTTTTAGCAGTCAGCGGTGCTTCGGGTGCCGTGGAAGCAGACGGTTCTAATGCAATTGCAGGTCCTGCTTTGCACACTGCCCCCGAACAGCCGTCAAACACCAACACGCAATCTCGTTCACCCGAGCGACTCATGTTCGCTCGAGGTGAACGGATTGGCAGACGCCATTGTTTAGAGGCTCTGGATGCAATCGACCAGGCTAAGTGGTTCCAGGTAGGTGCAGTGCCCTTGCAGGTTTTCCACATCACGCTCGTTTGCTTTTGTGTCGACCGTGTTCCATCGAATTTTATCATTGTTTTGCGGTTGTTTGACACACTGGCAGGCGATCGGTTGAGATAACGAAACCCTGGCACGTGTTCAGGGATCATTGTCTCACTGCTCAGGCTACTTTCCACCGATTGCCTTAGGGTTCACATTTTTCCCTTCTGGATTTCGGCTCTGTGCACCTCACGCATTTAGACTTCTATTCCCGCGCGACTTCTCTCCCCCAATATCCTCCGCCCAGTTTCTCTTTGGCATCACTCTCGTCCCTCCCCTTCTTTCATGCGATCACTAAGTCCACCTCCCCGCGCTGCTTCCCATTTTTCTATGTCGTGCAGTATAAGGATTACGTACATATTCGCGTGTACATCCGTGTATCGCGAATTTTTGTATTACCTTGCTTCGTTGGCTCTATCCTTGCAACACATGGTTTTAGCGCATATGCCTCTTGACCACCTTCAGAAGTGTTACCTACGGAATACCTCAGCCTCATGCACTGAGCTCTCCGCGAATGTAACTTTAAGGCAGACTACCTCAGCATTTCGATGCCATCCCGTACAGTGCATCCGACAATTTGCCGATACTGTTGGATTCAAGCTTTTTCTTCCAACAGATGATTCGGTGATTCCAGCTTCTTTTTATCCCCTTTTCCTTCTATTTGTTTGATCTTTTTCCACATGTACTCTATTCCAGATTCTATAGTCACACAAGTCAAGGCAACTCCGTTCAATGTATTTTGGTTCTCATGCCGCAGTTGATGATTGTCTTTCTTTACAAACTGACATTATCGGATCAAGACTTTGCTTCTGTGTACCCTGCTGTTACTGAATAGACTCGCAATTATTGAAAGAATCAAACATTTGGGATCAACCTTTTGCGTACTCCAGAGTCTTATTGGTGAACAGTAACATCAACCGGGAAACGACAGGGCATGCTTGTTGCCTAAAACCTTCGGGCTCCATGCAATATATATATATATATATATATATATATATATATATATATATATATAGTAGATCTTCCAAATTTCTTCGCTATTCCCAATTAAGCACACAAAATTTTTTCGCAACACTTCTAGCGGAGCCGAAAACAACTCAATAGTCAAACTACCTTTACCAAGAAGAACGTGCTAATCAAACGCCGTCAAAACGCTGCACACCTATCCAACACATTCGTCAGACTTGTAGGTCGCTCATTGGCCTTCGGCTTCTGGAAAACGAAGCTCAGCTGATAAAATTAGTAGCTTCATTGCTGACCTTCCGTATATTGGTGGTCACTTGAAGTAATGGGAGGTTTCATAATCTTCGTAATCCATGCACAATCAAAGGTAATCGACTAATTGCTGAAATAATGGGTTTTCCTTGATATGTTTACCTTCTGCTGAATACCTTCCCTCATGAGCTGTCTGCTGCATTGTATGATGTTAGCCTGGAGTTGACTCAATGCCTCCTGGACGGTGTTCTATGCCTGTCGGTCCATCGCCTTGGCTGGAGTACTCTGGAATCGAGTTCCGTTCTCTGCGTTCTGGTATCTTTCTTTAGCTGACAGAGTTCGACCACGGGCTCTTTAGACAAGTTGAAACTATTTATCAACAGGCCAAATGGGAAATCGGCCGTTTCTGTTGCTCCTAGCTGACACAGCGTTGATCGCAGCTGGTTCGCATGGCGTACCCAGACTTGCGTTCTAACCAGCACGTCGTAAAGTACGTTTCAGCGCCTGCCTTTGATCGTGCTGAGCGTCCAGTTTGCGTTTCCTTTCCGGTAATCACGTACAAGTACTGATTGCCCCGTTTAAAGGACGGTTGCTTCTTACCGTTTCTCCGATTGAATCACGTTCTAGGTTGAGATTCCTTTCACCAACTGTGAGCTCTGAGGGCGGTGGAATTGCATCAAAAGGCATGCGGAGCTTTCAGTCTATCATTGCTGTTGATACTCCAGCCGGCGTTTGTGGTTTCTGTGTGGATCGGTACAGAAGAAGGAACCGGTCGATCACCTCCTCCATATCTCACTCCTTGATTTGAGGAGAGCGCGCTTGAAGGTATCCGCAAATCTTTGCTTGGCCGTTCGATTTTGGGTGGCGCAGCATTTGCAGAACTCTCTAAATGTAGCCGAAGTAAACTGTGTTCCGTTGTCCGTCACTAATGTTTCAGGGCAGCCATACCTGCGGAAGATTTGTCGTAACCTTAAGACCGTTGCGCTGCTTGTCATACTGCTCATGAGACACACTTCTGACCATTTGCTATAATCGTCGACCACAATGAGAAGGTTCTGGCCGTTGATTGGGCCTGCAAATTTTACATGAACACGGCCTTACGACTTTGTTGGTTTTGGCCAGGAATGTAGTTCGGACTTCGGTTGTACCCTTGAAGCGGTAGCACAGATGCTACAAATTATGGCTAGCTGTTACAGCTGTCTGTCCATAAGCGGCCAATACACGTAACTTCGGACAATCGCTTTCATTCGATTGAGCTCTGGATGTCCTGCGTAGAATTGCCTTAACGCTCTTTCTCGCAATATCTGCAGGATTACCACTCTCTCTGAAAACATGGTGCAGTCATTCACAATTGAGAGCGAATGTATCCGCTGATAAAACTGTTGCGTTTTAGTAGATCACCTACGTGGCCAGCTGGTTCTGTGGTAGCATGTATCCTTTAGGATTGGATCTCGAAGTTCTTCGGTTCGCACCGCTTCTGCCGTAACTGGCATACTACGTAATCCCTCGTTCACCACGGACCTGACATCAGGTTCGATCTCAACTGAGGCGATGACCGTGTCCTCGTGTTGTTGCTGATGGGAATCAATGTGGCTTGACAACGCATCCGCTTGGCCAGAAAAACCGTTGATTGATAGCGGATCTTAAAATCCTAGCCCAGTAAGGAGCCGGTTAGATGTGTAGGCATGGATGCCCTTTTCCAATCCGAAGATAGCCAGTAACGGCTTGTGGTCCGTCAAGAGCTTGAAGCGGTGACCATACAGCATCTTGTGGAATTTTTTCACAGCAAACACTGGCTTGTACCTCCTTCACGATCTGGCTGTAGTTTCTTTCCTTAGCGTTCTGGCGACATGTTTGATCGCATCTGAGATCCATCTGGGAACGTATGTGAAACTACGGCACCGATCCTTTATGCGTCTGCAGCCAGGATAGTTTCTCGGGATGGATCATAGTGTGTCAGAAGTAGGTCTGAAGCCACAAGTGACATGACCCGCTCGAACGCAGTCTGGCATTCAAGGTTTGGCCTTGGCTCAACAACCTGTTAAGTGGGGCACGCAGGCGATGCAAATCTGGAAGAAAAGCTCTTATTGACTTATCATGCCAGAGAATGAACGCAGCAATTGCAAGTCCGCTGGCGGAGGTATCTTTTGAATAGCTCTGCTCTTTTCTGGATCAAGGCGACGACCGTCTTGTAAAAATGAAGCCGAAGAACTTGATGGGTGTTGTGAAAAACGTATGATTGTCTTCACGGATTTGGAAACCATATGACTGGATGCGTCCAAGCACTTCTGCCGTCCGGTCCATTATAATGATACCATCCAGGTATACAATGTCTCCAGACTGTCCCGCGAGCATAATGTCCTTCAGCTGTTGGAAGATGGCTGGGGCTGTTTTTACTCCAAATGGAGGCGGTTGTATTGGTACAAAGCGCAATGAATGGTTATGGTCAGCAATTCATCAACATCGAACAAGTCGGGCTTGGCGAAACGCTTCCCACCATTTAGCTCTGCAGAGATATGATATCGGAAAGTCGTACTAGTGTTCATCCAGTGCGGTGTTCAGGCCAGTTGAAAAATCGGCACTGACGTGCTCTTTACAGTTCGCCTTTCTCACAGTAACGATCGGCGCAACCCATGAAGAGTACAGTATTGGCCAAATTATTAGAATTTTTTCAGTCAGCAAATGTTTTCATATTTCATCACATATCCCATAAGAATTAAATGATGTAACTGTAGAATGGTTATATTTACCAAGAATAACATATATCGAACAGAAAATTATCTAGGTTAATATTTCGTAAATGATACTTTGACAATTTTCAAGGAGTCTGAGTTTTTTGCAAAGTTCAGTCATGCTTTCACGGCGAGCCCAGGTCGCTACAATTTGTTCCATGAGCAGTTGCTTGTTTGTAATAATTTTTTCTTCATCTCTGACTTTAGAATCGCCCCATAAATTCTCTATTGGATTCATGTCAGAGCTATTACCAGGCCAAGAGAACGGGTGACTTCACGCCCCTTGTGACATGGAGCACTGTCATGCATGAAAATGAAGTCTCCTGTCCCCGTAAATCCTTTTTCCTTTGACCATTCACACAACTGAGGGATCAGTTGTGCTCCAGTAGTTCTTTGTACTGCTGCTGGTTCATGTTACCCTGGACGATGGAGAGCCGACCAGTTCCGTAGATGCTCATAAAGCTCTTTATCATGATCTAAGGGGGATGTTTGACTCGTTGAATGATGCAGTCTTCCCTCATCTGTTCACCAGGTAATCGGCGGACATAGAGATTGCTGGTCAGTGCGCCGGATAATACACTCATCGCTGAAAACCACCTAAAATGAAATGCAGAAAACACAGCAAAAGTAATATAGACACAATTTTTCTGGAAAATCCTTATGAAAATAAAACCGGCTTCTTACCCGCTCCCAGTCTTCTTTGGACCATTTTTGAAGCTGTTTGGCCCATTCCTGTCGTTTTTCTTTCACTTGTTTGATAAACTTTTTATTCTTCAGAGGCCTGCAAACTCAAAATCGTCTTCTTACAGTTCTCGAACTAACTGCAACACCATGCTATTCCAACATCCATTGTAGCTGTCTGCTAGAAGCTTTGCGATTCTAGGCATTCCCTTAGTAGGAGTGAGTCGTCTCGAGCTGTTGTTTCTCTTCTGCGACCACATTTGCCGGAACGTTTAGAGGACAGGGGTAAATTCTTTTGAGATTTCTTTCGAAGTCGATATCCAGTCG